CCCCAAAACCCCAAAACCCCAAAACCCCGCAGTTAGTGATTCATCTACTATAACAGCATAATGATAATGCAAATCAAAACATTTCACTAATAATTTTAATATCACCACGAGATCGTTTTAATGAAAATTTTTGGAAAAACTGTTCGAGGGTCTATTATCAATTCAAACTCTAGGTTTTTTAGTACTAAGGCAGTACCAACAATGACTAAACTCTCTCATGTTAGATTGAATTTCAAGGAATTCAATCAGAAGCTGCCTTTGATAAAACAAAACGTCCTAAATAGGAACGCTTCTAGTAATATTCTTAGATTGCTTAATAATATCAGCTGCTAATCCCTATTCTTTTAGGATATGCTAACCCAGAATTGGTCAATCATTTGCATGAAGAGTATAAAAAGAAGAGATTTGAGATTGATCTGCTCAGAAAAAGAAGAAACGAGCATTCATCAGCGTACAATAACACTTTATGCATAAATTTCTATATAGTTTAAAGCAGCTATTAGTTATCGAGGATGATAGAAAACGCGAAGAATAAATAACATCTCATCACAAAATTGGAAAGTCATTTAAGACTGATCTTTAAAACTATGAGAAAGATTTTGAGTCGCTGGAGCTTTAGCTTATAGTAAGTTCTAGCTAGATAATATTATATAGACTGAAGCTTTGAAACTACCAAATAAAACTCATCCTGATAGCCCTATAGGTCCAGAAGCCAATAATGTAGAATTGAGGAAAAATAGTGAGAAATTTAAGTCTAAAAATAATAAATCGCATTTAGAAATTGGAGAAATGTTTGATCTGTTTGATTTTTAAAATGCCTCGAAACTTACAGGAAATAAGTTTGTTTTCCTGAAAAATGAGGCTGCTATTATGGAGTTAGCTCTCATAAACTATGCTTTTAACTTCGTTGCCAAAAAGCCTGGATTCACTCCAATAACCACTCCTGATTTCGCAAGAGTTCATGTATTGGAAGCTTGTGGTTTCCAACCTAGAGATGAAGCTGGTCAGGTGTATTTCCTCGATAATTTAAGTGAATGCTTGATTGGGACAAGTGAGATTCCAATGGCTGGGATGCACAGTGGAGAACTATTGAGAAAAGAAGCATTACCAGCAAAGTATGTTGCATATAGTCACTGCTTCAGAAAAGAAGCTGGCAGAGGTGAATCATCTAGAGGTTTATATAGATTGCATTAATTCTCTAAAGTTGAAATGTTTGGAATAACAGAAGGTGATTATGAAAAAAGTGAATCTCTGTTAAATGAGTTCATATCAATCTAAGAGGAAATATTTACTAATTTAGGCCTTCACTACAGACTGCTTGATATGGCTACTGAAGAGTTAGGAGCAGCAGCTTTTAGAAAATATGATATTGAAGCATGGATGCCTTCTAGATAAGACTTTGGTGAGATAAGTTCAGCTTCAAACTGCACAACTTATCAATCAAAAAGACTTAACATTTCCTATTTTGACAATGGAACAGATAAGAAATTAGCTCATACTGTCAATGCTACAGCTCTTGCAGTTCCTAGAATTATCATGGCAATCTTGGAGAACAACTGGAATGAGGAATTGAAAACTGTGACAATGCCAGACTGTCTTAAGCCTTATCTTCCCTTTGAGGAAATTAAGCAAAAAAGATAGTCAATATTTCTAAATTCTGATCAATGATGAATGATTATAATTAAAAATGTCTAATTTTTAAACTTATCAACTCCCAACTATTGTAAATTCACAACATAGTCTTAAAACCATATTATACAGGAGGGAAACTTTAACTTACTGCAAGATTATGCCTATGGTATATTCAATACCATTATATACCATCGAGCACTTGGCCATAACAACCCAGTCGAGTAAAAATGCTAATTACTTGACTAATTCTATGTAAGCTTCTGACAAATCATATTTTTGACTAAAATATAGATGAAATGCGGAGATTCTTAGCTTGAAAGGCAAATTAGTACACGCATAGACTCAATGCTTGAGAATATTACGAAGAATAAAGTTGATGAGATTTCTCTGATGTTTTACAATTAGATTCAGAGTAGCCCTGGAGGTATTTTCAGTGCCCCTGTGACTAAAAATGAGCCTTGGGAGATTTGGATTGTGCCTTTCAAGTTTATTGACATAAGTGATGGACATATTAATTTGGAAGAGCAGAGCGAAAATTTCGCCAAGATAATCATGGATGTAATAGACAAGGTGAATGAAAACACTGATTGCATGCCTAATATATATGATGGACTTAAATGTTATCCATTTTAGATAGATGTAAAAAAAGCTGGGGGTTCTTAAGCCAAAAGTGGAACCTCTTCTTTTCTTGGATTGGGAGGTTTGCTTAAGAAATTAACCAATTGAATTATAAGATTAGTTAGTTGATATTGATAGATATAATTATACTTAACAATTTAAAATGGAATAAACAAAAACAAAAGCTCATCCCTTATAAGGAGTTCTTGATAAGGATGGAAGAGCAGTGCTTGTCCCTAGTGTGACAACAGATGCTATTGCAATAAGACCTAAAGCAGATGGATCTGGCGATCATGACATCCTTTTGATAACAAGAGGTTAGCCTCCTCATAAGGGAAGTTTAGCATACCCTGGTGGCTTTGTAGATTACAACGAAGACCCTCTAGTATGTTGTTTGAGAGAACTTGAGGAAGAATGTGGAATTAAGGGAAATAATCCGGTACTTGTTACTGTTGAAGGAGCTCCAGGAAGAGATCCCAGAAAGCATATTATTTCAATATTCTACAAAGTAGATGTGGATTTTAATGCAGAGCCTAAAGCTGGAGATGATGCAGCTACTGCTTAATGGTATGATCTTAAGGATATTTGGAATAGAAGATCAGAGTTAGCGTTCGATCACGGAGTTGTTCTTCAAAAGCTATTGCAAAAGCACTATCCTTAATATCTTTGATTTTATTATTACTGTTATTAATATAATATGTTATCATTAAAAATGCAAATTAAAAAGTGTCTCTTTGGGCTACCGTTTCTGTTGACAAATGGTCTGGTGTTTTTCATAACATATATCTACTTTAGAGAATTTATCATCGTCAACTTTAACTAAGTAATCTACCTCATCATTTCATAGTATTTCTAGGGGAACATAGGTAAAGCTTTATATTTTGGCACTACACATATATTATTGGTGATTCTTTTGGAGTGGTCAGTCTTTGCATGCTGTTTCAGTGATCCTGGTTATGTCAGCAATGCACTTTATGTAAATACTTTAGGCGAAATGATATTTATAGACAGTAGAAGTACAGTAAGAAAATAAAGATATCGTTGAAGTTCGCTAAATCAATATTGATCAAGAACAGAATAATCAGAATTCAAATCAAAACTTATTAGCTAGTCCAGAAGACAACAAAGATATGCTAGTTTATGCGAAACAACCACTTTTGAGTTAAAATCAGAGAGACCATAATCAAAATACAAATATTGATTTGGAGGCAGGCACCGAGAAACTAATAATCAAAGTGAATCTCAAAGAAGCTAAGCTACTAAGTGGAAGGAAGAAGTTTCAAACAACAGAGGAAAAGAAATAATATGAGATAAACTAGCTCACCAATTACAGATATTGCGATGTTTGCAAAGAACTCAAGCCACCAAGAACTCATCATTGTTCAATCTGCAGCTAATGTGTGATGAGAATGGATCACCACTGCCCTTGGGTGGGAAATTGCGTCGGACTTAAAAACCACAAATACTTTATTTTATTCCTCCTCTACACGGCTATAGCTGCTATGCAAGTATTTTTGACCCTGCTTTTTAACAATCCCTAAGAATTTACATTGGTATAGCACATCTCCAATATGCAAAGAGATAATGGAATTATACTTGCTTTTATATTTTCCATTTCATTCTCGATCTCAACACTTTTCATGTTCCTTTTCCATGTGTTCTTGATTGTTAGGAATTCTTCTACAGTTGAAATGGAAGCACTCGCAAATTTCAATATATTTGATAGAGGGAATAAGGCTAATTGGGCTTAGGTATTTGGAGAAGATTGGAGGTATTGGTGGATCCCATTAGAACCTAAAAGAACTACCGATGGCTTAAGCTACCCAATCAATCATAGAATGATTTATTGGAATCAATGACAAATATTTATTTTTCACTGGAAATATTCACATCTATGACTGATTAAGTACTTGGGGTTTTGGGGTTGAATTAACTGTTATTTTAGTTGTTCTGATTTTTT